CTTGCAGTTTGTTGATATCTTGTTTCGTCGTTGAGATATAAATCAGTTTTCGTTGGGCAACTGCATTACTATCCGGGTGCACTTCTGCCACAACCAACATAGCATCAGCAGCCATTCCCTAAGCACTGGATGCTCGCCTTCAAGACGAGCGCTTGAGCATCCGCTAGAGATCAAGCGAAACCGTGCTGGCACGGCCTCTCGCTCATAGTGCAGCGGCTTAGCTTACTCATCAAAATTGTTTAATCGCTCATTCTTCCATCTCTCGTTCTTTCATCTGGTCAACGCTAGCTTCATCATGCTCCGAGTCCGACTCGTAGTGTGTTCTGTGCGGGACATGTCTAACATTGAGATGTTAATTCCAATGATTATCCGATGTTTTATGTTGCTTTTCGGATACCATCCCACTGAGTGTGCGCTGTGTAGCACACATTAATATTCGTGAATTTTGCGCGCCAGCCGTTGATTCAATGGGCCAAGCCGCACTGCAGCCTCGTGGCTGGCACCCCTCCTGTAACAAACCTGACGAGCGCCTATAGCTTAAACTCATTTCACCACCATCAGCATCTAGCGAACGTTCCACCCATCCATTCGATCTCAAACACTTGAAGCAGCTTTTACACCTTGCATTCTCCATCGCATCTCAGTTTGACTGTTCTAGCTGATCATCCGAGTCGTCACTTGACACACACGCCAACCCTTTCTGAACGAATCAGTGTCAGTATTTCCATCTCCTATAACATTTCTCGCTATCTGACCTCGTTGATAGCTCTTGTATATATGTCTGAAGGATGTTGGGAAAAGCTTTCCCAGGTCGCTGTCAAGGGTGCTCAATATGACTCTCGTGAGCGTCAGCCCCATCCAAAATGTCTGGAAGGGACCAGAGTGGTCCTTCTCAACCACATCTACGAGTCACTGGACAACCAAAGAAAGAATCAACTTATCTGGCTACATGGCACGGCGGGCGTCGGAAAGTCTGCTGTTGCGTTCACCGTAGCTGAGAGAATGAGAGGTCTGAAAGTTGTAGAAGGAAGCAAGGAAAAGCGGCTCGCAGGAACATTCTTTTTTTCGCGCAAGCACACGAAGCGCCGCACAACTGGTTATTTCTTCGCGACTCTTGTCTACCAGCTTGCAAGCAATTTTCCCAGCATCAGGAATGATGTGAAAAGAACCATCCTCGACAATCCCGCATTGCTAGATCACGACATGTCTCTTCGCGATCAGATGGAGGCATTATTTCTCCAACCTCTCCAGAAGCTTCAAATCAGATTGCGCGAATGCCCGCCTTTGACATTTGTTATTGACGCCCTTGATGAATGCATCTCCGAATCTCTCGATGAAGACGCATCTAAAAGCGAGCTTGCTGATCTCATCTCCTTGCTTGGCGAAGCGCTCCGTGATCCTGATCTGCCGGTCACCCACATTCTGCTCACAAGTCGTTCGGAGGAGCATATCTGTATAGCCATGCGCACTGCAGAAATGCGCCCGCTGTTGTGCGAGATACCAGTGAAGACTTCTGGGGAGGGTGTTGCTGCCACCATCTCATTGGATGGCATAGATGTTGACAGCGACATATGTGTCTTTTTGCGACATTCGTTCGCAAAGCTGGGAACCCGCCATCCTGATTTTCCACAGCCCTCAGAGGATCAACTTGCACGGCTAGTGGGTCGAGCGGGCAGACGTTTTATCGTGGCTTCTACGATGATGAAGTTTATTGATGATCAGCAGAATGATCCTCGCGATCGACTTCAGCTCATGCTCAAGCTAACGAGCGAACTGCTTCCAGGAACGGAGGTGTACAAGTTGTATGACAGTATCCTTTTCACATGTGCTGACCCAGCACTCGCATATCTGCACTTGTCTGTGATTGCTGCCCTTGCAGACCCTCTGCCGATAGCACAAATATCGAAACTTCTTGGCCCTTGTGAGGGCAGGGACGTCGAAAATGTACTGGTGCAGCTACGATCTGTCATAGATGTTCCTACCGACAGCAATCTCCCCGTAAATGTCTACCACTCCTCTGTCCGTGACTATGTTTCTCACCACTCAAACCACTCTCTCCGTCAAGTACACAACATCACATCACCACACTCTCTACTCGCTCTTTCCTGTTTCCGCTTGATGGCACACAACCTTCCAGAAAGCACGACCCTTCCAGATGTGCTCTCAGAATTGATGAAGCATAGCCAAGCTATGGAATCCCACGAACCTCAGAATTTAAAACATGCATTGAACTTCACTGTCCAGCCGCCTGAGCCACTGCAAGTGCTTATAAGTCTGCTATGGCTTCGGGGGCATCGTAATTTAGAATTACAATTCTGGCTGGATACCCGGGATGGGAATGCTTGGCTACAAACCGATGAAGTGAGAGACTGGGTTCAAACACAGGATGGGAAGGACTGGCTTGCGACGGATAGGGGGGAAGTGTGGTTGCAGAGACGGCGTAGAATGCTGTGGCGGCAGACAGTGCTGCAAGCTCCTAACACGGGACGGCCTGAACAACTCCACACCTCGAACATATCCGAACTACTACAGACTACGGACGACACCTTAGACCCACCCTCACCAACCTCCTCCACTGAGGCTGGCTGGCTAGATACCACAGGCAGGGGAGAACCACTGCAGACCTCGGGTGCCCGGGAGTGGTTGGAGACCCAGGGAGAGAAAAGCTGGCTGCAGACCTTGGGCGTCCGAGAGTGGTTGCAGACACAGGAAGGCAAAGACTGGCTGCAGACCCAGGCAGGCAAATATTGGTTTCAGACCCTGGGCGGGCGAGAGTGGCTGAGGACTACAAGTGGGCGAGAATGGCTGGGTACGGACGGGCGAGAGTGGCTGAAGACACCGGGAGGCAAATACTGGCTGCGGAGCCCGGGCGGACAAGAGTGGCTGAGGA